CAAGGTTGCTATTGTGCACAAATTTACAAGAGAAGCAAATTCCGTGGAGGCAGCAAGCAGTCCTTGCTTGTCGTTTTCAGTATACACCTTAAGACCTGTGATTAGGTCTTCTCTTTCCAATGCACAAATCCTTTCCCTATGAAAATTTTTGTAAGGTTTCCAGAACCAATCTACTGACACAGTTTGCTCCACTGATATTCAATAGGACAGTCTCATAGCTTAGCGTGCAACATCTCCTAATTAAACTACCAAAAGCTGAAAGCCATTTGCTGTAAAGGAACAGCGCCTACTGCACTCATTATGATCCAAAGTAGACATCCTGACATTAGAGTTTGCTATTTTCTCCATAGCACTACTGCTGATATCAGTCCCACTAGGACGAGGACTTAAAAGACCTGTCTGAGAGAGATGACAGAGGGAAGCACTAGAGATTACTTCCATCATCAATCTAGTCAGTCTAACACTATCATCTGGAATTTTTTTAAGCATGATGGATTCTTTAATTAACTTCAAAAAGTGTATCTGTTTCTCAGGTATGTAAACATGGCACGGCAAGAGTCTTCATGGTTTTGCTTGGGGAACTGTCAAAACATCAATTAGGAACAGGGAGGTTTGTTTAATGAATTCCCAATTTGACAATAGAAAAAAATATACTCTAAACAGTTTTTCTTCCCTGAATGATCACACCAAGCAGCTTTTCCACACTTAATCAACAATATACATTTTTGGAAATTGATGGAATTCCATTCAGGTTGGTGGCCGTGATTCAAACCAAATATGCACTGGCTTCTCCCAATATATTTCAGGACTTAGTGAGCCCCAGGAGTTAAAAGTTTGCACAGAGTTGGGTTACAGTGACTCCCAAGATGCAACCCAGCCCTGCTGATTGGCTCCAAAAGTGGATTTGCACTGCTTAAGGTGGAAGCATTGCCAGGGCAGATGGAGGATGAGCTGATTCAGCACACTTCATGGCAGTCTCCATCTGCAGGACTCCTACAGAGCACTGGACGTAGTTTCAAAGCTGCCCCGGTCTAGTGGAAACGTTAGGGAGGACAGTGGTGTAAACATGATTTGGTCTTCTCGCAGGGGTGAAGTTGCCTGCAGTATAGGAATGTAAATGCTGTTTAAAAAGTGAACAGTTTAAATGATTAAAAAATATTTTGTTTAAACAGCTAACCAATTAAGCAGCCACTGTGGCCAGCCGGCCCGGAGGTTAACGGTTAAGGCGGGTTAACTGGTAAAACTAATGCTTACCGGTTAACATTTTACATCCCTACTTCAGTAGCAAAGAAAGTGCAATTTGTAACCTGCTGCAAACTGGGGGGGGGGGAGGAGTCGAGCCCTGTGATTTTGATGGAACTGCAGCAGGTTCTATGGCTCAATGTGTTCGTTACTAAAACATGAGTAGGAGTTGTCCTTGTTGCTGGAGGGGCTTTGTGATTAGGCTTCTTAAATTGATAAACTGCTCAATGATCATTCTATAATAAAATCTCTGTATGATCACAACAACATACATTTTGAGACAATTAACCAAAGGATCCGGGGTTTTGACAGAGGAGTATGATGTGTGTTTGTGTGTGCGCACATTCAGGTTTTTATTCATTAAACATTTTAATTCATGTTTTTAATGCAAATACAGCCATTAGACTATTAGGCATATACTTCCACTACTATCCTCAACAGGATGTTTTCTAGCCTCATTCATTTTTAGGTCTGTGGTTTCAATGAAGGAAGTGCCATTTATTATTGTTGTTTTACCATGCCCAAAAGTATGCTAGCCACTTTGTGGAACCAATAAAAAGAGTCATGGGGTGAAATCCTGGCTCAACTGAAGTTAATGGCCAAACTCCTACGGACTTCAATGGGGCTGGCATTCATTCATAGTCCCTGTTCCTAAGCATCTGTAATCTAATTTTAGATGACGGGATAAGTGAGAGTAACAAATAGTAGGTAAAGGATGGGGAAAGGAATGTTGAGGGTCACAGCAATAAGATCACAGGATTATTCAATTTAGGCACATGCACATATTGATTAATATGCTCAAGGTTGTTGTTGTTCTGGAGCATACACTGAGATACCACCCCCTCTGGAATCTCAGGGAAACGTTGCCGGAGGTCATGGAGTACCTGCACATCAAGTTGCTGACTACCCTGCGCCATGCCAGACTGATGTTGTTCTGGGATTCTCAAGAATGGAAGTCAATAAGCCTTCCAGTGGATACGATCTTCTGATGCTTCAGGCATTTTTCTTTAAAGAAAGAATAAATCCCCTTAATATCTTCTTAAGTCGTCATATTTCCAGGAGTGCATCTCTGCTGATTCACTTGCAGCATCGTTCATCCTGATTTTACAGAGGTGTTTCTTCTTTATGACGACTTCACAAATATTAGTTTCAGTTACCATGCGGTTGGGGGCGGCGGCGACAGGAGCAGCATGCCCGGCTTCCCCTCGCTCTCCGCAGGAGAGGGGCAGGGACTGCCGGGACGCCCCCCTCTTCCTGGGTCTGGCGGGGGTGGGTCCCCCCTTTCCACTCGTGGAGGCGGGGGGTGGGTGGGAAACTGGTCTCTGGGCAGTGCAAGCTCAGAACAGGGGGGAGGGATAGCTCAGTGGTTTGAGCATTGGCCTGCTAACCCCAGGGTTGTGAGTTCAATCCTTGAGGGGGCCATTTGGGATCTGGGGCAAAAATTGGGGATTGGTCCTGCTTTGAGCAGGGGGTTGGACTAGATGACCTCCTGAGGTCCCTTCCAACCCTGATATTCTATGATTCTATGAATAAATGAAAAAAGTGTTTAAAAAAATAGTGTTAGATCCACTGGCTGTTGCCAACCTTTGTTCCACTAAGCAAAAATTTGTGTTAAGGAGCTAAATACTGTTGCATTTTATTTTCCTGATTTTAAAACGCATCTTATTGAACAGCACAATACAAAGCTATCAGAGATTGGATATTTAAGTAGCACATGCCTCAGAAAAGATAAGATTAGAGTCACGGTACAAACACTGTACGTTTACAGACTTAAGGTGAGAAGAGAACGAAAAGGCATCTCAGGAAGTCTGTCAAAGGAATTTGAGTTTGACAAAATAATTCAGAGAAATGAAACAGTCACATCAAGCATAGGTCTCTGTAATAGATGAGTACATAGCTTGTACATTTTACTAGATGGCTAGATTTCTTAAACTGGCATCCATCTTTTACTTTTTTATACAGTAACTCCTCACTTAAAGTCATCCTGGTTAACGTTGTTACATTGCTGATCAATTAGAGAACATGATCATTTAAAGTTATGCAATGCTCCCTTATAACACTATTTGATAGCCGCCTGCTTTGTCCACTGCTTGCAGGAAGAGCAGCCCGTTGGAGCTAGCTGGTGGGGGCTTGGAACCAGGGTGGACCGGCAGCCCCCCTATCAGCTCCCTGCTCCCCGAAGTTCCCTGTACAGCAGCCGCCCAGCAGGCTATCAATTGCCAGCAGTTCAGCTGTCCCTCCCCACACTGCCATGTGCTGCTCCTGCCCCTCTGCTCTGGAGCTGCTCCCTGGAGCCTTCTGCTTGCTGTGCGGGGTGGGGGGGGAAGAGGGGGGCTAATGTCAGGGTGTCCCCCTCCCCCCCTGCTCCTGCCCCCCACTTACCCCTTCTCCATACAGAGCAGGGTGGGGATATGACAGGGCTTAGGATGGAGGGAGCTTGCTGGCCGCAGCTGCTGTCTACTTAAGCTTCCTGATCTACTTAAAAAGGCAATGTACTTAGAGTGATGTCAGCATACTTAAAGGGGCAATGCGCATCTCTCTCTCACACACACAGGGTGTGTGTCTGTCTGCCATGCTATCTCCCCTCCCTCCATTCATGCTGCCTTGTGGAGTGTGAGGCTACATTAATAACGATGTGTTAACCCTTGAGGGCTCAGCCGAATGCTAGTTCATTATTTAGCAGGAAGGCATTCCCTGAGAAATATCCCACCCTCTAACTTCACCACCTCAACCAAGCATCACAATCATCATTGCTGTGTACAGTATTAAATTGTTTGTTTAAAAAAAAACTTATACTGTGTGTGTAGATATATATAATATAGTATCTACATATATAATATAGTTTGTCTGGTGAAAAAAACTTCCATGAAACTAACCCCCCCATTTACATTAATTCTTATGGGGAAATTGTATTCGCTTAAAGTCACATTTTTCAGGAACACAACTACAACATTAAGCGAGGAGTATTACGGTATTTTAATTCTTAGTTTATTTATAATCATACAGTAAACTGGTGCAGCTCCATTGACTTCAGCAAAGCTATGCTGATTTCACACTAGCTGAGGAGCGGGACCCCAAGTGGGATCTGGGCCTATAGAAAACTTCACATTTAGTTCCACTGACCACTCAACTGAATTAGGGGAAATTTGACCTTGTTTAAATGTGCATGTTTGGTTTAGTTGTTAAGTATCACACATTCCCCCTTCCATGAACAACAAACACAGTACTGAGCCATCGTATCTAATAGATCACCTAAAGCTTGAGGATGAAGACTCTGGTCAACAGCTCTCTTCCTCAAGCACAATGACACTTTCTACCAGAAGGGTAAAGTTCACCCATGTAGGTGACAGAGCTTTCTTGGGGGGCCAGTCTGAGACTGTGGAACAAATTCTTACTGGAACTAAGGACCCTCACACACTTCACCAGCTTCCATTCCACATACAAGGTACACTTCTTTGACCTTGCCTTCTCCAACATGAACAAATAGCAGTGTGTTTATTTAAAACCAAAAGCCTCTATCAAACCAAACACACACAATTCTCCCCCTAAAAGAGGGGACGAGAAAGAGAGAGAACGAACCACACATGAGAGATGTTAGTCACATTGCTTTATGCGCTGCTGGAAGGCACTCGACCTCATTATGATGAGGGTAGTATAAGAACCTATACAGAATAAAATATATTCTGTTACTGAAGTTTACCAGATCCCAGAAAGAACAAAAACAAGCGTATCATAAGGAAACTTTCCACTGACCTCACTGGGAGCTGGACTGTGCCCTTATTTGGTTTCCTTCCCAACCGGTGAAGAGGGCAAAGACAGCAAGGTATCTTCTCCCAGGAGACTGAAAGCATCATGTCTGCCTCTCCTTCAGAGTTCTGAAGTATATTTAAAAGCTTTTAAATTAAAATTCTCCCATACAACAGTATGTCATTTCCTGCTGAGCCGGGGTAGTTACAGATCCAGGATTAGAGACTCAGCTGGTGTAAACTGGGATAGCTCTATTGAAGTCAATGGAGTTTAGCCAGGTTACATCAGTTGAAGGCCTACCCCATAATGCTGTTCCCAAGTATAAATTTCACTCCACTTCTCGATCCACCACCTCCATTCTCAAGAACCTGTATATTCTAAAAAACAGAAAATACAATAATTTGGGGCATGAACTGTCTTTCAGTATGTGTGTTTACTATGCCTAATATAATGGGGCTCAAATACATGATGACGGGCTGCAGACACTAAGTAAATATTTATTCATGTCTGAATATTGGTGACATCAAAGCAAAATTTTCAGAAGCCTTCATGATCCATTGCTAATTTTGAGTGCTCAGCAGCTGACCTTCCAATGATCTGCTGTACACCATCCATCTATCTCCTCGCTGGTCATCTGCTACTGTAATGACCCACCACCATTGCTTCTGTAATAATTTTCTCAAGGATTTTTTCCATTTCTACACCTAATGTGACCAAAGTACATAAATTTGCATCTGTTGATTTTCAACATCAGGATTTGATTCTCTCCAATAATACTTCTAACATAGGCATTCATCTTTTTTCTATCCAGGAGATACACAAGAATCTTTGCCAGCACCGCATTTCAAAAGCTTCAGTTTTCTTCTCGTCAAAAGCATTAAACTTCCCATGATTCACATCCATAAATTGCTAAGGAAAAAGTTAGGATTTTTTTACTAGTCGCATCTTCGTACATGTCAAAAAGCCACAATTTGTCCACGCTTTCAGGGAGGCCATAGTTGGGCATTACCACAATACAACTAATAAATAATTATATTTGATCAAAGCAATTCCTCCATATGTCATGAGATATTAACCATGGGAATTATTTAAAGTCTGAAAGATGCAATAAATTCACTCAAGTCTCCGTCTCCTTATATATAGAATAATCTGGAGATTAGAAGGGACTCCTAGTGAGTCATTCACCATCCATTCCACTGCTTCACAAAAGCTAAATAAAATTCATATCTCCATCTGGGGTACGCTATATGGTAGGTTCTTGGGAATCAGGGATAACAATTTTATTATTACATTGTAGAACTTTACACTAACTTTTTTATACAGCTATGAGTTGAGCATCTTGAACTTCATGTGATATTATTATTTACTGAGCACAGTCAATGTGCTCTGCAGTGTACGCTCAGATAAGACATGATCTTTGTTTCCAGGAGCTTACAACCTAATTTAGACACTTTAAAAAAAAAATCATTGCTTCATCTAGACTCTTAGAAAGCTGGCTAACTAGCTAAACACTTGCTATTGCAGCCACACCCACATCTCTGATACTTTAGCTAGACCTCTTAAAATCATCACAGTTGCATAAATACAGATATTAGGCATCAGACAATATAAAGCTGTGCACAATTGATATTTGCCCTGTGTTTTTTCTCGACAGAGTGCTAACAAAAATATAGCCTTCCCATTTTTGTCTTGGAGCCAGGGATTGTAAGTCTGTTGAGTGCAACTCTTTCCCTTATCTAAAGCTCTCAGTGATGGTCACTCGGGAACAGATGGGCAATGCCATGTCGGTTCCCAGACAGGAAATAGTGGCCCCAGAGGGAACAAGCAAGAAGGTCTCTGCTTAAATGGATCTGACAGCTTTGCTTAGAGAAAGATGTTTATCCCTGTTTATGAACGTGTCCTTTTTCGCCTTTATAATTCCCATGGTTAGTGGGCTTTTTTTGTTTTGTTTTTAAAACACACAGTGTGTCTAACTGTCTGGGAAGGGAGAATACTAGTCACACACTTTTGAAAGCATTGGGGATGAGTGAGAAACAATTTCATTAAAACAGCTCATTTGCAAAAGGTGTGATTCCTTTCCAAAACATTTCTATTAGCCTTTTTAATGTTTAATGGCCTGATCCATTTCCGACTGGAGCCTTTCCATTGACTTCAGAGGGAGCCAGATCAAGTCCTAATTTAAACAAAGATATTTTTGTATGAACCCTCAAACTGGAAAACTAAAAATGCAAAACAAAAACCACCATCACCAATTTTTCCAGTACTTGAATACAATTTTTAACTGACTGTTATTAGTTTACTAGCCTGCTCCTCCAGATTGATGATCTTTGGTTGCTTTATTTTCTTCTCTGACAGATGATGTGAATCCTCTTATCAAGTAAAAAAATTCTATGGTGGGTTTTTTGTTTTTTTTTTAGCTTTCAGAATTTACATTTGTAATGTCTGGTAGAAGTGACCGAACTTTTAGCCAGAGTTTAATTTTAAAAAGGACATGCAGTATCTTTCTTGAAGATTTTCTTAATCACTTGGATTTATCCCGACTTTTAACTCTAGATAAGAAAATAAGATATCCCATCATGAGGATTTACTGTGGAGTTTTGTGCCAACCAGGAATGGCTCCCAGTATTTTAGTTATTAAAATTACATTTATTGGCAATTAGATCTATTTCCTGTATTAAATGAGGTTTCCACAAACACTTAAAGTCAAGAGAAGTCAAATAAGTAGCATGCCCTTGGAAATATTAAAGAAGTACATGTTTTAAAGAATTGAGTATCTGGGTGAATTGAGTAAAATGTGTGCAAGCATTCATGTTTAATTTCTAACAAATAATAAAACAGTGCAAATCTCTCTCTCTGACAAAAATACTGTCCCATCTTTTGGGAGGCCAGGGAAGATTTAGACTCCAGAACTGGGACTGAGGCGAAATTACCTTTTTCAAGTAACATCTACAGTGCCAGATGGGGACAAAGTGCATATTCCACTGGCACTTCTGCTGGAACAGCTGCCCATCCACTCACTCACTGCTCTCCCAGCCACCATGTGGATCCTGAATGAATAGAAAGACATCAGCAGGGTCAGGGAGAAGGTATCACAGATACCATTTAATCCCATCCCCCTTCCAGGCAGAGATGAGGAGGGTTCCTTCCACCATGCAAACATTGGAGCAACGGAGGTGGGTGAAATTATTCAGCCCTGTGCATGGACTTCAGGATTCGTCCCATATTAAACCAAGCTGGGCTCACACTGAAATTCAGATCTGCTTCCAGATTTTGCAAACAGCCAACACGATAGGTGGTTTTGGATCCAGGGCTTCGGTTTGGGCCTAATCTCTAATATTAAAGGAAAAACAAGAAAAAGTTAAAAATCAGAAGTAAAGCAGAGCAGGCAGCACAGTAGTTCTGTGACCCCATGTGCCAGGTCGCAATGCCACTCACTCAAATTTGGAGTGTAGGATTTCATGAGCCAGGGGTTTCAGGCTGTTGGGAGAGGGGCACCTCAGAAAGGAAAAGGAGGATCAAGCAGGAAGAAGAGGGGGCAAATCTATGCCCTCTACTTTAAATGTGCTCCACAGCTCCAAACTATGAATTAGAAGGAAAAAATAAAAATAGATTCCAGAATCCACAGGGCCTATCTAGACCCACTCACCTTCCAACCTAATCCAGTCTTGCCCAGTCATGAAAGAGTCATGTCAGTCTGACTGGCCTATACACTATATTACACACCCAAAAACTGGGATAAAAGATTATTATTAAAGTTGCAAAGTAAAGCACTCAAAAGTTAAATGCCATAATTAAGGTTTCCTTAATTTTTTGTGTATAAATCAGAGATTATAAAATGAGTGCGCAAACCCATAATAATTCTAGATCTGCTGCATACAAACATCCACTATACAGCGTATTAATTAATATCTGCACTTACTGGATAGTTACACGGATAAAGAAAATGATGTGATGTACATATACAGTGCTTTGTTCATTCATAGAATATCAGTTATATTCTATAACTATTATTTGTATTATGGTACATAAGAACAGCCATACTGGGTCAGACCAATGGTCCATCTAGCCCAGTATTCTGTCTTCTGACAGTGACCGGTGCTAGATGCTTCAGACAGAGTGAACAGACCAGGGTAACTGAGTGATCTACCAAGGTTGTGTAGTCAGAGGTTTTAGGTACACCCAGAGCATGGGATTGCATCCCTGACAATCTTGGCTCGTAGCCATTGAAGGACCTATTCTCCAGGAATTTATCTAATTCTTTTTTGAACCCAGTTATATTTTTGGCCTTCATAACCTCCCATGGCAATGAGTTCCACATGTTGACTGTGCACTGTGTGAAGAATAGTTGCTTTTGTTTGTTTTAAACATGCTGCCTATTAATTTCATTGGGTGAAATTCCCTAGTTCTTGTGTTATGGGGGAGGACAGTAAATAAAAACTTCCATCTTCACTTTCTCCACACCAGTCATGATTTTATAGAACACCCTCCTTAGTTGTCTCTCTTCTAAAATGACCAGTCCCAGTCTTTTTAATCTCTCCTCATACGGAAGCTGTTCTATAACCCCTAATCATTTTTGTTGTCCTTCTCTGTACCTTTTCCATTTCTAAAAAAAAAAAAAAATCTTTTTAGAGATGAGGCAACCAGGACTGGATGCAGTATTCAAGGTATGGTTATGCCATGGATTTATAAAATGACATGATGATATTTTCTGTTTTATTATCTATCACTTTCATAACGGTTCCTAACATTCTGTTAGTTTTGTTGACTGCCACTGCACACAGAGCAGGTATTTTCAGGGAACTCTCCATAGCAACTCCAAGGTCTTTCTTAAAAAGAAAAGGAGGACTTGTGGCACCTTAGAGACTAAGCTACAGCTCACGAAAGCTTCTACTCAAATAAATGGGTTAGTCTCGAAGGTGCCACAAGTCCTCCTTTTCTTTTTGCGGATACCGACTAACACGGCTGCTACTCTGAAATCTAAGATCTTTCTTGTGTGCTAACAGACAATTTAGACACCATCATTTTGTACGTATAGTTGGGATTATTTTTTCCAATGTGCATTACTTTCCACTTATCTACAATGAATTTCACCCAGCTTTGTGAGATCCCTTTTTAACTCTTCAGAGTCAGATTTTGACTCAACTATCTTGAGTAATTTTGTATCATCTTCAAATTTTGCCACGTTCACTTTTGACCCCTTTTTTCCAGATCATTTATGAATATGTTGAACAGCACGTCCCAGTACAGATACTATTAAGCTTTCTCCATTGTGAAAGCTAATAATTTATTCTCACCCTTTGTCTCCTATCTATCTTTTAGCCCAGTAACTGATCTCAGGGCAACTTTCCTCTTATCCCATGACTGATTACTTTGCTTAAGAGCCTATGTGAGGAACCTTGTCAAATGCTTTCTGAAAACCCAAGTGTACTACATCAACTGGAACACCCTTGTCCGCATGCTTGTTGACTCTCTCAAAGAATTCTAATACATTGTTGATAGATTTCTAATAGGCGGCCCTTTACAAAAGCCATGTTGACTTTTCCCGAGTATGTCGTGTTCATCTGTGTCTGATAATTTTGTTCTTTACTCCAGTTTTAACCAATTTGCCTGGGACTGAAGTTAATCTTACTGGCCTATAATTGCCAGGATCTCCTCTGGAGCCTTTTTAAAAAATAGGCATTACATTAACTACCCTCCAGTCATCTGATACAGAGGCCCATTTAAGCAATAGTTTACATACCACAGCTGTTAGTTCTGCAATTTCATATTTGAATTCCTTCAGAACTCTTGTGTGAATACTGTCTGGTTCTGGTGACTCAATAACTGTTTAATTTATCAGTTTATTCCAAAATCTCTTCTATTGAAACCTCTGTCTGGGACAGTTCCCCAGATCCGTCACATAAAAAGAATGGCTCAAGGGATTCCCCCTCACATTCCCTGCAGTAAAGATTAATGCAAAGAATTCATGTCGCTTCTCCACAACAGCCTTGTCTGTCTTGAGGGCTCCTGCAATACCTTGGTCATCCAGCAGCCCCACTGACTATTTTGCAGTCTTTCTGCTTCTGATGTCCGTTAAAAAGTGTTGCTGTTAGTTTTTGTGCCCTTAGCCACTTGCTCCTCAAATTTATTTTTGGCCTGCCTTATTATATGTTTACATTTGACTTGCCAGAGTTTATGCTCCTATCTTCCTCATTATGATTTGACTTCCGTTGTTAAAGGATGCTTTTTTGACTCTAGCTACCTCTTTTATTCTGCTGCTTAGCCATGGTGCCTTTTTTATTTTAAAATGTGGAGTATATATTTAGTTTGAGCCTCTACTTTCTTTCACATAGTGCCACTCCTCCACAGCACAACCTACTCTGTCATGCCTATATATTTTGTACCCCAGTGTTACTGCATCCCATTCATGATATCCTCATTCAATGATGCCTATCAATATAATCATTTTAATGCCAGGCACTCTAGTTCACCTGCCTTAGTGTTTAGACTGCAAGTATTGTGTATAAGCTTTTGTACATTTTTGTCAATATTCACATGTTCTTTTAAAAATGGAACTCTTATGTTTTACCTTTCCTCACAAGTGCCTACCTGTACTTTACCAACTTCTTTCCTGTCCTCTTTACTAGCATATAGAGTTCCCCCCTCAATAAATTCATCCCTATAGGATATGTCTGCCCAAACTCTGCTTCTCTGCACCTGTCAGCTTTCCCCCAGCCCTTAGTTTAAAAACTCCTCTATGACTGGTTTAATTTTACATGTCAGCAGTCTGCTTCCTTTTTGGTTTAGGTGGAGCCCATCCTTCCTGTACAGGCTCCTCCTTTCCCAAAAGGTTCCCCAGTTACTACTAAGCCTAAGAACTTCCTCCCCTACACACTTTGTCTCATCAACACATTGAGACCCTGCAGTTCTGCCTGTCCTCCTGACCTTGCACATGGAACTGGAAACATTTCAGAGAAGCACCTTGAGGTCCCTACTGAGATAAAGGCCCCATTCTGCCAGGCACTGTACATGCGAAAAACTAGGAGGCAGTCTATCCTCAAAGAGCTCACAGTCTAAACAGAAAGACTGGGAGAAAGGAAGTATTATTCTCCCCAATTTACAAATGGGGCACTGACATTTAGTGACTTACCCAAGGTCACGCAGAAAGTCTGTGGCTGAGCCAGGATCTGAATCTAGATCTCCTGAGTTCCAGTGCAGTGTATTAACCTTTTTCCTCCCATTTACAACATTTCTTTAAAATTATTTTAAAGCTAAAAGCACACACTCGCTATAGTGACTATTTATATGCAGTTTCAAAGATGAAGCCAGCCCTTCCTTGTACAAGTAGTCCCCACTGATTTTAGTGGGACATGAGTGTGGTCAATCATGCAATGGTTTGCAGGACCACGTCCCCAACTGTGACAACGCAAACTGTTTGAGTGCAAAGAAAGCCTTGTAAAATGTTTAAAGTGTGAAAAAAGCAGCTGATGTGGTATGCCTACGCTGTTCATAATCCCACTTGAATTATTTCTTTGTTTCCTTGTGCTCCTCCTGACTGACTGTTGTCTCATCTTATACACAGATTGTAAGCTCTTTGGAGCAGGGATGTCTCTGTTATATCTCTGTAGAATGCCTAGCACAATGGAACCCTGACCTCAGATGCTACTGCAACACAAATAAAAAAATGCATATTCCCTGCACATTCTGACAACTTGTGGATTTGCATAGAGTTAAGGTAATGTAGTACCATGCCTCAGTTCTGGAGTCCAAATCATTCAGGCCCTCAGAAAAGATGGAACAATATTTGCATGTTTGTCTTATGACTTACATATTCATACACGACAGCTGCATAAGGGCTCTGTGAAAGCTTGTCTCTCTCACCAATGGAAGATGGTTCAATAAAAGATATTACCTCTCCCATCTTGTCTCTAGAATCCTGGAACCAGCACAGCTACAATAATGCATACATATTCTCACACACTCACAAAACTCTTGTGATTAGGGTAGGGATTAAAATTGAATCTGGATATAAACTGTGCTCAATTTTGCAGACTCATAACCTGACTGA